CGGAGGATCTGGAACCCCCACCTAGATCATGGCACGTGAGTTGTTGAAGGCGCCCTTTTCAGGTGGAATTGAAGGGAAGCCAAAGGGAAAACTCGCTTTGGGGTTGCTCTGTTCTAGCACATGCCCAGTTGTGGAAGGTGCGTATTCTCAGATTTTTGAACCTGAAAACGGCCGCTTTGAAGGGTAGTTGTGAGGATATCACTTTCGACCCAGCCCTTTGACGTGGGAGCTTGAATGCTTGAGGATGTTGAAGCATCCTGGATCATTTGGGAATGTGGTGGACTGTGCTTCTTGTTCAACCTATGCGTTGCCTGAAAACAGACCAAAAACTGGGTGGTTCATCTCTGTTTGCCGGGCATCCTCCCCAGTTGCTTTTTGCACCTTTGGACTACCTCTATTCTCCAGCAGCCAAAGCATACCAAGACAAGTTTGTGCGTCCAGGAACTGTTTCATTAGCACGATGAGTGCATTTTGACATGACTTCGAATGGGGAAATGTGCCTAGATGTGGTTCCCTATCCCCTACAAGGCTATGCTTCAAAGGGCTCTTTACCTAAGCTGTCCTTGGTTTCTACCCTTTCAGCCGTTCAGCCATCCAGCTATGGGCATCGCACTTCACCTACCTGTTTGGTTGCTGCTTGCCGTGTTGTCCGTTAACTTTTTGTATTTACTGGTCGGATCCTTCGAGCCCCGGGCTCAGCGAACGAGTGGGATGAATCCGGCAGGTTGCGTGCTGGCGCTCCGCTGGAATCTGGACAAGCCCTTCTCAATGACGGAGCCCCCCGCTGAATACAAGGGCTTTATGGTCAAGAGCCTTGGCGAAGGCCGCGAGGCCAAATCCTTCACCCTCTGAATCCCCTGTTTGGCTTGCTGGGGCCCGCTACGGTCAACCCCTAAAAGCGCTCTCTTTTTTGTAGCTGGGTCACTAGTTAATTTGGCCCACCTCTTAAGAGAGGTTCGTCAAAGCCTTCGGAGAAGGTTCTCATAACCTTTCGGGCTGAAAATATGGCCTCGCTTGCGCACAACTGGAGGGTGAGGAACCTGCAAAGCCCACGGCTCGAGCCCAGTCTCATGCGCGGCTCATGGCAGAACAGACATAGCTGACCCCAAAGGATCCGAATATTCAAGCTCATGCTCAATATGGCAATGCCTCCAGAGACAGAATCCAACTCCCAACCCCGAAGGGTTCTTAGCAAGCTTCTTGGAACCTTTCTGGTCGGTAGGATTGACGGCAGCAGATGTCGAACAATGTTGACAGAAGAGGTGCGACTCCTCGCAAATAGCGGCTGCTTTTGCACTTCTGTTAGTCCTCACTCCCTGAGTTCCCTTTAACACTCTTTGGTAAGACCATTTTCATGGCAGACAAATACTTTGAGCTCAGGACGGGATGTTTCTGATGCCCACCTCAGAAATGGAGTGAAGCAAGAAGGGTGACCCTCCCTCCAATCGTGGAAGCTGACAGAAGGACTTCGGAAGATTACATTCCCTGTCTCGTTCAGAAAAGGGATAGTCTGCTGTTTTCATCTGACTTGCTGGCAAGCTTGACTTCACTTGACTGTACTTGACTTGTTTGTGTTTGTGTGTTTTGTTTGTATGTTGGTTGATGTTATCTTTTTGCATTCTGTGCTGTTTTGTTGTGGGTGCGTTGCTTTGTTTGAGATCTTTTGCGTTTGCTTTCTTGCTTGCTTTATGGTATGTGCTCGTGATCTTGATTGCAATTTGTTGTCTTGTTTGTTGTTTGGGTTTGTTGCATCGCCCCCCCCCCCCTCCCCCACTGACGAGACTTGTTGTTGTTTGTCATTTTGATTTTTATTTGGGTTCGGTTGGCTGTTTCTGGGTTTGTTTGGCTGTTTGTGTGTTTCCCTGCTTGTTTATTTGTTCGGAGCAGGCAAGAGGGTTCAGCTGTTTAGCATTTTCCTTAGGCTCCATGTTCCTTTTTGCAGTTTTCGGCCGCTTGTCAGGTTACCGTTAAATGCTTCATTGATGGTTTGGGTTGGTGGCTTGGGTATCTGAAACGCGGTTGTTTTGTAGAGTCGGCTAGCGGAGACCCTCCAACCTCCACCCCACCAAGCTCAAACCGCAAGTTTCAAGAGACAACTCGACTTGTTTAGTCTCCCTTTGTGTTTCTTTATACAAACTTGTTGGTTTGTTGGTTTGTTTGTTTGTTTGTTCGTTTTGTGTGCTAGCTGCTTTCCCTACATGTTTTCGGCCGCGGTTTCCCCCGGGTTGGTGTTGGTTCGGCCCAGGAAGCGCTTGCAGGCGCTGCAGGTGGGCGGCCCGGCGGCCGCCTTGGGCGCCGCGGCGGCCTCGGCGGCGGCCTTGGCCAACGGGGAGCTCGCCGCGGCGGCAGCTCGGATTTGGTTTTGAGGGCGCCGGTTTTCTTAAGGCGGGCCTAGCACAGGTGGCCTCTTTGCGAAACGCAATCGGCGCACATTTCTTGCATCTCTCCCATTGCAATCAGTTTTTTTGTTTTTTCCCCATCATCTGGTGTCCGGTTTTTGTTGGTTAGGAGTGGTGGCATCATAGCCTCCCATCCACGTTGGCACCAGGGGGTCCCTGCAACAAACTGATCTTCCAGGCACCCTCCCGGTGCCATGTTAGTCGGACGGAGGGTAGCGCATGCGGGTCCTCCAATTTGGCCTTACAGGATCGGATTCGCGGCAACCGGACACAAAGCATTGCCCTTAGTTTTTCCCTTTTATGGAGTTGTTTTACTCGAAAATACATAGGGATTCCGCGGATTCCTGATTGACCTGGTTTCATGACAATTCATGAGTCCACGCCCGGACTCCTTTCCCGATCCCATGGACCTTAGATTGCCCTAAGTTTGAGCAACCCCCAGGTTGGAGCACCCAGCGATACCCGAACCAAAGTGTGGCTACTGATGACCACCTTGGGAGCTATGAACTTGAACGGAGAAGTGGCAACGTTGCAAAAGTTGGCTGCTAGGTTGGATCTGCTCGGCCTAACTTGGCTAACTGCTGGGCTGGATCTTGAACCTCTAGCTGTGCTGATTTGGGACCCTTAAACGGCACGGAGCATCCGAGTTGTTCAGTCGCAGCCCTAAAATCCCTTGTTGCATTGGCGGTTTCACCTCTGAATGGTCATCCTGAGGGAAGGATTCTGCAGAAACATGTTTGGGAAAGTATGTGTTTCCCCACGAATTCTGCAAAAGCTGTTATTTTTTTGTGCAGAAGGGCCACCAAGCTCAAAATGAAGCCTGAGCAAAGCTCAGGAAGATCATCTTCATTTCTAGGAGCTCTCTCTCTGTCTTGCAGGAGGTCCTGGGGATCCACTCAAAGCTGAGTTGCCTTGTTGGGAAGCATCGCTTCCTTCCCCGAAAGTGCATGCCCGCACAGAAAGACCTCGATTCGAGTTCGCCAGGTCCCTACGCTGCAGGCCTGCGGGGTCGTCGGGCTCATTTCCGTTGTCATCGCGCAGCTCGCGAAGCGACTGAAGTAAGAGCTCGACGGCATCCCGAAATTGGGAGAAAGACACCAGCAGGGTGTGAATCTGTATGGCGAAAGAACACTGATTTTGCGTGGCGTTTCGGGAAGCCAATTTTTCAGGGGTCCAACTATTCATGGAGCCTGGGGCCGACGTGTTGCTCGTGATACGTGCACGTCCCCCCGGGCTTATGTCTTTTGGACAATCGAAGGCGAAAGCCTGGTATCCCTAGGTCAGCTTGGTTGAACATAGATGTGTTGCACTGGTTTGAGTTTGGTACTCAATTGTCTACTCCAAAAGGCTGCCATTGAAAGACCAAGCGACCATGCCAGCCCATGCGCCCCTGCCTGCACTCGTGAAGCTAGGGGGTGCAGGACTTTAACCCATTTTCGGCGCACAATGTTTTGCAATGCCCGTGACGTGCGAATGCTTCCGGCCTTTTGACGCCTGCCGCGAGCTGCGGTTGGGCGGAACAGCCGGGACCAGGATGCACGCTTTGTGCATGCACTCACACGGGTGGATCTCATTCAGCTGTCATTGGCTCTCCAGCAGAAAAACATGCGTACAGAGGAGAATGACGACGTTCCCAACTGAGGGGAGCCCAAATCCGACTACCTGGCTTCATGGGGACTAAGGGAGCCCTACGTACAGCATCACTTAGCAGCTCTTGAAGTCCGATTGGAGCCTTGGTGCAGTTTTTGATCTGCGCCCAAAGCCCAAATGCGACATGTTGGTCCAGTGGAAGGCCAAACCAGAAGTTTGGTAGAGCCAAAGTCAATGAGTTTCGGGCGCTCTGGTCACGTGCAGAAGGATGACGGAACTGGGGATGAGGCACACAAGGATCAAGAGCCGCGTTCCAAGCGCGCTTGGGTACATGTCGTTTCAACCTTAGCCTTGGGGTTCACTTGTGGGCAGCTTGCCCAGGACCAGGTAGCCCTTTGGTGATTTGGATTGGCCATTTGGATAGCTGAGGCCTGCCCACAGCCAATCTGAAAGGCAACCGTTTCCGAACGCATGGGAACCCAATTGAAGCCCTCTGTCAGTTCTTCCATGAGGGGATCCTTCACCTTTGGAGTTCCCCATCCACCAAGATTTGGGTCACAACTAGCACAGATCTTTGAGCTTCCAAAAGGAAGCTACCAGGGGATGCAGGGATGTACATGTTTTGCGTACTTTTTGCCAGACCAATCTACTGGCCCCCAGGTTGCAAAGAAGTCAACATTGGAGGATGTTGACGCGGCCGAAACCGCATGAGGTCTCTTTTTCCCGGAATTTCCTGTTGCTGGTTTCAATGAACAGGCACATGCCCTACAACAATTGCAGGCGTTCCAGGTGGCCTTTCCGGATAAAATCCACCGCAACTTTCGGCTCAGCCCGGGGATTTCGGAGCCCCCGGGATGCAGCCTGCTTGTGCGCCTTGTGGCTATGGATGGGTCCTCTTGCCAAGCGACTTCTTTACTTAGGTCGTGGCCTAGCCTGTTGACGCCATACCTGTTCTAAGTGGCTGAATCCCACTTTCAGCTTGGTCCAATCATGTGCCACGTTTTTTTTTTTCAAAGGGCACTTTAGGGTAGTGCCCGAAAGTGGGCCGAAGACTTTGCCACGGCGCGATGACAATGCAAGGAGGCAGGCCATGACGGTCAATTGAGGGATTCCTTCATTTCATTTGGTGACTTCTGGGTGTGGCTGTTTTGCAGGTATCTTGCTTTGCGCTGGTTCAAATCGAAACCACAAGGCGGCAATCATTTGCAGGAAACCTTGGTCGGAATAGTGCAGGTGAGTGACTATTCCTGGCTTGGAAATCATCGCCTTGCTATGCCCTGCATTGTTGGATTCCAGCGATCCCGAAGGATCGTCCCTTCCAGCCGAAAAAGAGGATTGCGGATACCACTGTCAACTTCGGATGTCCAAAACTTAAGAAACCGAACCCCCAAAGAGATCCCAGGGCGAAAATACGCCCGGACGTTCCGGAACGAAACCGTGCCGCACATGGCAGGCTGCACCCTGGGGGTCTTCAAGCTGGTGGAGGCTTGGCTGCCAAACCGGCCCCAGGTCCAAGATGAGCCGCTCCTTCCGCAGAGTGCGTTGTGAAAATCGAGCTGTTCAAGAATACCCGGGGAAATGTTGAGTCGATTGAGTCGATATGAGTCGATGTTTCAATGGCTTCCCATGTTGAGAGTGCCGCGGCCCAACCCAGCGTGTCGTTTCCTCACATGGCTGCGTCGTGTCGGATCCTTTTCGGGCTCCAAAAGGGAAACCAGAAGCCAGCGTTCTAGGGGCGTCCCCCTGGCTCCGCCAAACTGATTGACGCCAAGCTTCGCGGTGCTCGACGTGTTCCTTGCGCCTGGGGGCAAATTTGCAACTGGGTCCCTGCGGCAAGGAACGAGGCGGCCTCATGTTTTCAATACATAAGTGGGTTCCCGGCATCCGAGGCTTCTTCCGCCAACCAAAAGGCAACCTTTCACCAGGTGTCAAACCCCAAGCAAGTCGACCTTTTGACAAAGCCCCAGGTCGGTTCGGCTAAGGCGATCCTTCCAAGCCCTGGGAAAGGCGACTTGAATGGGACGCGTTTACTTGAAGGTCACCCTGCAAGGGTTCTGGTTGCCGTTTGCCTCGGTGTGTTGCATGGAGTCCTTCGGTTGCAACTGGTTGCAAGCTGAAGACTCCCGTCCCAAAAGTCACGAGTGGTTGCGCTCTGAGGCTTCCCCATGTGTGCAAGCTCGCGTCCATGTTGGAGCCTGAGCTCTACATGGCTCAGGCCGCTTTCCGCACACGCGGGGGCTGGCAAAAGCCCAATTCAACAACCATTGTAGGGATTGTGTGTTTTCTCAATCGGATATGTGGTGAAACTATGGTTCTCGGCTGCATGGGGGCAAAAGTTAACAGAGGTCCCGTGGACAAAATCCATTTCGCACCGGTTGTGGGTGAAACCCTACAAGACTGTATACCAACTGATGCAGAGCGGAGTCTTGCCATCCACACCATGACTGGCTGAGACTGTCCCCTGCAAAACCTTCATCTCCCCCGGTTTTGATTGTGATTTTTCGGGGATGGGTTGATCGATCCGGCGCGGGGCGTGTGCCAGGCGATGAGAGCTCACAGGAAGAAAGAGTTGCACAAGCCAGTTCATTCTTGTGAGCAGGCAGGTTGGGGAAGGGACTTCTGGCGGTCGCTCCGTTTTAGCCCTCCGACTTCTATGCACCCCTCAAAATGTGTAATTGTCTGGCCCCCGCAAAAGGCTCCACAACAAGGCTGCAGGGTCCGATTTTGAGAAACGCAAGGGATCGGGGGATGGGGGAAGGGGATAAAGTCTCGCACGCAGCTTGCTTTGACAGGTCTTGCCGACAAGCGGCAGGCAGCATGACTCAGTGGCTTGGCTGAGAAAAGAAGCAGCTCAATTAGGATGCGTGAAAAACATGGTTGCTGTGGTTCACGCGTGTTGTCGCTGTTCATTTTGTCCTTGTTACGGTGGATGCTCTAAATATTCCATTCCAACCAACCAGGCTCAACCACACCACCCTGGAAAATTACAGTAAGGTAGAGGGATTTATTGTTGAATTGCTTGCAACATGTAGGGGCGTCCACCGCATCTGTGTTTTGTTGCTGGCAACCCGGGGTTCCTGCAAAGGATGATGCGCGCCATGGTCCAAGCACTTGTTCAGCTCCGAGTACGGGAGCCACTGTTGCATCGGAGTGGGAAAGCGGGCCTTAAGCCACAGGCTCCAGTTGAATTGTTGCCCAACTTCCCAGGCTGGCATTGGGACATGGGGAGTTTTTTTTGGGGGGGTTCGAGCTCCAGGAAGATCCAGTAACCTGGGGGTCTCCAGATCTTTTGACTCAAATTGGAACGAAAAGCAGCTCATCTGAGGGGGTTCCAAGCACAGAGGACGTCCGACTTTACCTTCAACTGAACATGGGTGTTCACGGTGTAAACCGTGCGGGGCCGCGGGGGTTCTCAAAATGGTGGACCCAGCAGTCAATGCAAAGCAAAGCGGATACCGACCATTTTAGGCGACCACATTTTGGGCATTCGTTTAAACCATAGTGTCCCCAAAAAGGCACACACACACACACACCACTTTTTGTTCAGGTCCTCGAATTCTGTGACTCATTCGACCAGGCTGCCTTTATGCCTGGAGATCTGATCGTGCTTGGGGAGGTGCCTGGCTATGTGGGCGCAACTGCCGTGGTCATGGAGGTGACCCCAGTCGACTGCAAGGTGGCAATCCTGGACGCTAGGATCTCAAAGCTATGTGTTGTTGTTGGTTTGTGTTTTTTGTCATTGTTTTTGGGGGGGAGTGGAAGTAGATAACACCATTCTCTTGTCCGGGAGGGAAGCGGACGACAAAACCGAGAGGGGAAGGTTGTGCCATGTGCTGGGATCACCTTTGAGGTTTTGGGCTCTAAACGTTGCAAGGCTCGTCAAATAGGATGATTTAAGGCTCGCCAAATCATATTTAGGTCGGTTTGGGACAGCTGAGGTGGCATGCACCCCAAAACCTCGCCGGTTCCGGATTTGTTTGGCCAGTAGATCCAAGCTGACCTGGACCATGTTGGTTCATGCTGTCTTTGAGTTGCTTTGCTTCTGTTGGCAAAAAAATACTATGTCCCCCAAGGGCCGTAGCCGTAGCTGTCCTCGGTATGTGGTGTTGATTTGGGAGGCTGCAGGAGCTCAGAGGAAAGCAACTCATTTGATTTTCTCTGAAAGAGGATGGACATGTGCATGTTTGTCCAGCCTGCTTAAAACCCGGATTGAGAATTCTTAGTGGGTTCGCCTTGTTAAGCCCCCAAACCGTTCGAGGGGATTTTGAGAAGGGGTTCCTGGTCAGCCCTGCTTCTCGTGTCCATTGCAAAAGCCCCAATCTGGATTGCATGGTTTGATTTGGGTCAGGCGTCCACACTTCCCAGTCGCCCTTCCAGCAAGAAACATGGGGTGGTGCAAATGTCCCTATGAAAGGATTCTTGCTTGACTTTTTGGAAAGGCTGCTTAAAGGTTTCACTGTCAGGTGATTCGAGTCCGGATGATGTTTAAGCTGATGCCAGTGCAGAGTTGCAAGTTTGGGCCTGGGGCTTGATTAGGAGCTCCTTGTGGCTTTTATTGATCCAATACCTCAGGGATGGGCCCCATTTTCCTGAAGAATCCCAGTGGCGCAGCGGCACCCTCTAAAGTCTTGGCTTCTTGGGTGCCAAACATGTTCAATCCCACAAAACAGTGTTCCATATTTTTTCCCACATTCCCACCCGACGGAGGACGCTTCCCGCACGTCCACCGCGGAGCGCCACGTGCGATCCTCTGACCTGCGCTTGATCCACCAGCACTGGCGCATCGGGGCCAGGCGGGTCCTTTTTAAAGTGATCAAACCGACCCTGCATAGGATTTGCAAGCAATCCCTGGCCAGGCACGTGATCGAAGGCCTCAGTCGGATGAAGCACCTCAACGGTCTCATTGCCACTGTGAGGGAACATCGGAGATACGGTCACCCATGCCGCTAGGCAACCAAGGAGCTGGGGGTGCAAACCTTGTCCTAAGAAGGAGCCTTTCGGGGTTGCAGGAGTGTAAGGACATGGCTGGCGATCGAGGCTTCGCAAGTTAGAAGGGCTCGCCTGAATTAAGGAGCTCACGACGAAGGTCGCTGACTTCAGGAATTCCGTATCTCTGGTCTGTGAGCTTCCGTAATGCGCCCAGCTCGCAAGATCCCATCAGCTCTTGCATGTGGAAGATCTTGAAGGTGAGCAACATCTTTGAGAGGGCAACCGCTCGTCTCTGAATCGCGTGAGGCCGGGCGACAGCTTGGCTCTCGGACAGCTTCAGACAACATGGTCACTCTTGTGGGCAAGTGACAACTTCCATCCGAGCGAAAACCGCAGGTGCCGTCCTATCTGCCAACTTCAGAAGGCAGAAGATGGCTTTAAAGAGCTCAGCCTCTTCACCCTGCAAAAGCTAGTTGATTCTTCTTGGTATGCCAGTCTCTTGTCCCAAAACTGGAAACATCAGGGGCTGAAGAATCATTGGCTCTATTTTCTTCTGGTCATGGCTTTATTTGACTTTCCTAGGTGCCCCAGAACATCCTTCCGATGACTTTTACTCACTCCCTGAGCTCCAATGACGAAATTCAAGCGCCACCCTCACGGTATGAAAGATTTGCTTTCATCGGCTCAGACCCCTTCCCGCCACTCCGGACGCAAAACTTAAGCCCTCCAGTCCTCTAACCCTCCTCGAAAACAAACAGTGCGGCTGTTTGGCCCTGCCTTTCGCACACTGAAGGCGAGCCGTGCTGAAGACAACTTTTCAAGAAATCACGCAAAGCACTTAAATATTTCTTCGGGTCTTGAAATTCGTTGCCCCGGGCCAGCGACAACCCTCGCGGAGCTAGTGCAACGGCTTTGTTGGCCTATTCAAGTGTCCGGATATTTAAATGGCGACGCCGCAAGCTTTTTTGGGGAGGACATGTTCAGTGGTAAGCAAGAAGTGTGTGTGTTCTTGTTTTGCAGATCCACTCACTTCCTGACAGGCCTAGGATTAATCAGCCCCTTTGCTTTGTTTGGCAAGCACCTGCGTAATAGTTTCCACTGGGTCCATTATTCCCCTTCAAGCCCATCTTTGCTTCTTATAGTGGGCTCCCCACTGAAAATGGTCACCCTCAAATGGCCCCTTTTTTTGCCAGGGTTGGGTTACTGAACAGCGGGGGAACCCCGAGGCTTCGTGCGCGGGGACTCAGGGGATCGCAAGCTGCGGCTCTGCGTGCGCTGGGAAAACGCCGAAACCTCCGGCGCGCTGCTCCTGGAGACGCGGTTCCTCCGCCCAGAAGCTCGAAACCGAAGTCTGGGATCCCCTTCCGCTTCTCTCTCTCTCTCTCTCTCTCTTTCTCTCTCTCTCTCTGCATTACCCTTTGTGCCTACTTGTTGGGCGGTCTCTCTTTTTCTCGGCATGTGCCAAAAGGTTAACCTGTGACTTGTCAGAAAGCAGAGTTGGGGCAACCCCCACCCTTTGGCCCTCTTTTCCATGTTTCTCTAGGGCCCTAGAAGTATGACTGTCATGTACTTTGCCCGCCGGCCCGTGATGTGGTGGTTGAGGTGTGTTGCTCCAGTAGCATTTTCCCCACAAGGCTTGGCCCAGTATCAAAGAGTGGCTTGAGACGGAGCTATAGGTTGATCTCCGAATGGGCGAGCCTCCCCAAAGGCTCCTTTCCACTCCCAGCCTTGCTAAGGAGATTTCTGAGAGCTCTGCGAGCGAGAGGCGGGCGAAAACCGTTTGTTGTTGGCCTGGCGTTGGGCTAGTTGAGATTCGTTCTGCCTGATTTATGGGTTTCGAGCGCACCGATTCGGGGGCAAAACGAACGAAAGCCATGAAAAAGGACCTTTGCTTAGGGGTGTTGTCTTATTTCAGCATTTGGAGTTATAGTAAAATGTGCAGATTCTTTTGGGGGGGCACTGTTGAAAAGAAGAAAGCGCGCATTTGTGGAGGCAAATCGTTTTTGGGGATCTGATGGGGAGTAGCCCGCAAGTAACTCACCAATACAATGTGCCAACACCCTTCAACACCAATGCCCTGAACTCAAAGAGGTGGCAAAAACGCGCCAAAGTCAGCATCACAAGGCTCTGACAAACGCAGCCCAAAACTTACACCTGCGTCCTTCCGCGTGCCTCGGAGGCCTCCGGACAACACGCTGCTCACGGCGAAGCGCCGGGCCGCATCCTCGTCCGAGGAGCGAAGGGGGGCCAATGGAAGCCAGGAAATTCTGTGAGTTTGCCAAAAACACCAAAGCCAGGGTTCTTGGCAAACTTCCAGAATTGCCTGCTCGGCTTTGTTGGAATCTACAAAGATTTCCTGAGCTATCCAAGTGGTGCACTGGATTGCACTCTTTCCTTGTTGGCTCAGAAGGGGACCCCTTTAGAAATCAGTCAAAAGACTGCTGCCTTTTCGCTCATGGCTCTTATGGCCATTCGGCTTCTGAGCTGCAATCACCAACCCCTGGCACACTTGAGAAGCTTAGCTAGGGGGAGGGGGTGTACCAACTAACCCATCTCGCCTTGTTGCCTCACATAAGGCCCGAGAAGGTTATTTAGGGAGAAGGGTTGGTGGGGGCAATCCTGGGATTCGTTGGCACGGCGTTTGTCCACAACGATTCCATCCCAGAATGAACTTATAGGGAGGGGACACCTTGTGTTTGCACATGCGTCTCCCTTGGTTTTAACAAAGGCAAAGAATAATTCCATGCATGATAGATGAAGTCCAGCTGGGGGCTCAGGTGTTTGGTAACTATGTTGTATTGTTGCTCTTGCAGCGAAGAAGCCCGAAAACTATGCCTGTCCTTTCGGTTTCCAACTAAACCAACACCCGCAGACAAACAGATACCCAAATCAGCAACACAGCCTAAAGACTTGTAAGACTCTGCGAGGACTGCGACAAGCTGAGCACCCCATCCCTGCGAGCCATCGACGAGTTAGAGCCCACACCGTGCCACGAGTCCCAGGCAGGCTGCTCGAAACAGGACTCGCATCGGATGTTTTTGTTAGTTGCGCCCGCTACTCCAGATACGTGGTCTGTTAATTTTTGCATATTTTGAAGAACCCGGCTGTTCCTCATACCCTTTGAAAAGTGGGTGTTAGATGTAGGGATGCGCGTTGCTAAACTTGGCTGCCCCATTCTCGTCTCTTTGCTGTTCACAATAAACGTAATGCCGCTCAACACGTGGCGCACTGTCTATCCTTTCGAAATGGGTTCATTCTACAATTGTGCAAGCCACAACCAATTTGTTTGTAGGGATGCTGTTCGCCCCTCTTGGCAACCTGGGCGTTCTGCCTCACATGAACCTTCTCAACCCCCCTACTCAGGTGCCGCCCCACCTTTTCAAGGGATGCCAAAAAGGGGCCCTAATTTTTGCTAGCCCCCTTTCCCAATGGAAGCAGGCACGAGGACGGCCGGTTTTTGCGAGGGTGGGTTTTGGTACATCTAGAATTTGCAGCACGGTCTGCCACAACCTAACGTGGTGTTCACGATGGAAAGGGCATCAAAGATGGCCACAAGTTGGATGGTTCGGTTTGGTTCCAAGTGCGTCACCAGCAAGTTGACCGAGGGGAGTCCAAGTTGTTTTGGAAGCAAGTTTCAAGGTGGAAAAGTGACGACCAAGCCTCAAAACCGACCTCTTAGCACCCTTCAAATAGATCCATCCCCGGGTCAACCCGCCCATTGCTCAACTGTCCCAACATGCCTTCTCAACTCTTGCCACATGCCTACTCAAACACCAACTTGGCCAAACCTCCCAACCCCCCAACCCCCCAACCCCCCCCCACCCCATGGCTTGAGACCCCAGAGGTCGAGAGCGTTCGGCCGCTGCCCAGCTGCTCCAGCAGCTTCCTGACCACCTTGTCCTGGCTCGTGGGCGCGCCCCTCGACATGGCCCGCGACTTTTCCCATGAAAAAAAAAACGCCAGCCCTTGCCCTGTCTGGACTCGGTTGCTTCTTTGCTTGTGTGTGTGTGTGTTTTTTTTTGGGGGGGAGGGGGGTGGGGGGGTGGGGTTGCGGGCGCAAAGGAAATACTGTGTAAGCAGAAGATCCCGACTTGTTCATTCCCCAAGCCCCTTTTGCTGTGGGCAGAGGAGGCTTGGCTGTGGGGATGAGAATGGCACATTGCGCATCTCAGAAAGGAGGATTCTCCGCAATGAACACATCGCCTCTTCAATGGGATTCCACCCGTTTTCCCCTTGGGTTTCGCCACATCATGGAACGAAGAAAGGGGTCCAACATGAGTTGTCAGCAAAACCCCAGAGCTACCCTGGATATACTGCGCTTCCTTTGCTTGGCACACCGTGTCAGCGCAAGCCGTGTTTCCTCCAATATATTATGGCGCGAGTTAGGGGTCCTATGCCCCCGCTAGACAAGTTTCCTTAGGTCTCTTTCAGGTATTTGGGGAGGGTAATGCCCATCTCCTTTCAGCTTCGCTTGGGAAAGCCGCAAGGCAAGTTGAGAGGCAAGGTACCTTTCCCGAAGCGCCCTAAAACTCGATCTGTCATCTTTGGGTCTGAGACAAACCATCTTCACGGACAATCCCCGCCTGATTTTGAGGCATTCCTAGTAAGGATTCAAGGGAGATGTTTTGGGAGGGGCGGATGCTTCAATATTCGAAGTAAAGCAACCACGCCACCGTCAACCCCAATATCATGGCAAACTGCGGCGAATTAGGGCCGTTCCTTGCTCCCATGCAAACTTCACAGCATCCGGGCCATGAGTTTCTGTTGAAACCCCGTTAACAGTTGTTGCCGGACATCCCCTTCAACGATGCCCACAAGGGTGGATTGCCAACGGTGGATCAAATGATGTCCAGAAGGGCGCAGTCGCATTCGCATGATAAGCTCCGGAGTGGTTCTTCCGCGCTTTTGGAGCTGAGGCACACGCGGCCCGTAGAGGACGAGTTCCCCACGGTGATCCGCTTGTCCTCCGTGCTGGCGGCGGATGACCCGCAGCCCCGGGAGCAGCCGCTCGCAACGAACTCCGAACGGCAAAGCCCGTTCGTTTGTCCCCTCAGGTCTGTCTTTTTATTCAAATGTAGGGAAACAATATAACTCGTTACTGATATATTCACTCACTTGTTGGCTCATTTGTTGGTTTATCTACTCAGTTTGACAAAATAAGGAACGGCATGGTTTTTGGTGTACCTGGGGTTGAAGGTTCTTGGCAGGGAAGCCTACAACCGGCAACCTTGTTGCCTTTAGCAGAACGCCGCTGTTCCAAGATGGGGGGACTCTGAGACTCTGAGAGCTTACAAAAAGATTGTTTTTTTTTGAGGGCATTTCGTAAAATTGGGGGGCCACTTTTGACGCTGAAATGGTCGCCAAAAGGACACCTTCCCCACCCCATTTGCAACAGCGGACCTTTCCCCACATATCACTTGAATGCAGGGAATAGTACGTGGGCCACGTGTGTTTTTGTCGGGCGCACCGTATCTTCCTCATCGCGAGTAGGTTCAGCAGGCCAGCTCACTCCCTGAGTTCCTGGACTTCATGCGTGTTGGTTTTGGACCTCTTTAGTGGTAAATCTAAAAGAACGATCGGAAGTGAGGCATGCAAGCTCTATGCACTGGCGATGCGGATCACTTCTAGGGGAGCACCTTATTAATATGAAAGCTTTATTCATCTGGGGCCGCCAACTTGCTTGCAACTGGCCGCGGCCCCCTGTGGCTTTTCGGCCTGGTCACCCGCCACATGATTTCAAAGTTGCAGATTATTTTTGGAAGGTGCTTCACAGGAACAGCAAGGGGGACATAATGGGGACCACAAGCAATCCCGACATGTTGGGGGCCAAGGGCTGGAAAGCAGAAGGCAAGGAATGGAACCACCGATCAGCTTCAGGCTGTCTTGGCTCCTGCCCATTGCGGAAACCGAAGACGACGCGGAGCTCATCTCAGAAGCTTGCTAAATGAAGCGAAATCAGGAAGGAACTTCGCACCCAGTTCCCCCCGTTCAGTGGGGTCCCACCCTTTGCCATTTCAGTTGAGTTCCCACTCTGGAAATCGACAATTGGTAGTGGGTCCTGGTGCCTTCCTTGTCCAGGAGCCAAGCTTCTTCCTTTGAGAGGGTCGAATGGAAGCCCCACTGTAGGCTTCTAGATTCGGCGCTTGGCCAGATTCTAAACCTGTCACTTTGTGGTTGGGGCATGAATTGACGCCCTCCAAAGAAGGCCTTGTTTGCTCCGAATTTCCTTTCCATTGGCTACAAATCATCCTACGCTTGCTAGAGAAAGCAGCTTCCTGCAGGTTGAAGCTAGGGCTAAACCTCGCTTGCGCTTCCAATGCACTCAAAGACCTTTCCAAGCTGCCTGTAGACTAAGATACGTAGTCCATATGTTTCATAAACTTAAAGCTGTCTTGGGTTTCCAGATTTCCCGAAAGTGAGCTTCCTATCTTAGCTTGCCATGGGCCAGAGCCAAAATGGTGACGATCCCAGCCTAAGGGTCCGGCAGCCCTCTAGGAACCCATCTCCAAATCGCTGGGATTTGAACGACAGATCACCGCCCCCTTGAGCATGTCCTTCTCATGTGGCATGAGAAAGGGAAGGGGATAGTTAGATAATTCCGTGACCTCCAGTGGCGCTTTTGCGTTCTTTTGTTTGAAGAGGATTGGATCGGTCTGGTTCCGTGGCTCGCTTTTCGGCAACGGAAGCGACTTGGCGCGAAGGAACCCACGGAGGTGCACAGCTTCGCGGAAGTCCAGCCCGGCGCGGGGGGGGGTCGCGGGGGAGCTGGTGCTTTAGGAAGTTTGAAGGGGCTCCACTGGGCTTGGTAGCAATTTGTGCTAAAAAGGCTGCTTAACTGCTGGGTATGTCAAGGGATTAGGCTAAGGGTGTTCGGCCCAACCCTCACCGGCACAAGCCTGGCCCCAGTGGCCTTGTTTTGCGCCGTCTAAATTCGATTTGGGCAAGGTATAGGGACCTGGCAAAGGGACGTGGCTTCCACCAGCAAGTCATAATGATCCAGTGCCTGTTTTGCGAGATACATCTAACGGTGTCACGAAGTGCAATGCTGTGGTATGGCTTGCCTACTTTCTGTTTGGAAAGACAGCTTGTGGCTGACGGGTTAAGAAATTTAGCTTCCGATGGTTCTTCCAACAAGGGTGCTGCATATCCTTACATATGTTGTCCCAATCTACAGAGAGCTTCCTTTTGGTGGGTCAATCTACCTTTTGACCATGTTCGACCCGTTCAACTTCAAGATGCCATAAGCCAACAGGGCATATGTCAAAATAGGGTGACCTCAAACTGGTTGTCCTTTTGATTTCCCTTTAAGCCAACATGAAAAGGGTACCCGCAAAAAGACACACCCACCTGCTTTGAGCTTGTCGACCTGGTTCATTGAGAGCTTCCAGATGCTTGCCTGACTAGAGAAGCAAGCATTTGCTCATTTACTATGGAAACCGCAATATATCAAAACGATGCCCACTAATTCAAAGGAAGGAGCACTCCGGAGCGCCCGGTGCACCGAGTCGGGGTGGAATTCTCCTAGGGGATTTGGCCCTGCTGGACCGAAGCTTCCAGCCCGCCAAGTACGCCAACACCTTTGCGGTGGTCAAAGGCGGGCCTCTCCGCATCTCCGCGTCGGGCAAAAATCGGCAGACTTGTTGCCTTTGCATGGGTTCCTGTATTTTTCGCTTCCAACCAAGAAGTTACTGTTACTTGTTGCAGGGGTCGAACTTTTGCACAGAGGGTCTAAGTCTGGCCCAGAAACGGCGCTGCTTCGTGAGGGTTCCTGTAGGATGCATCCAAAAGCCACCACGAGATTCCCCTCGTTGCCGTGCTTCCCCCAAATTCCGACCTGAAACGGTCTTTGGGTCGCATGTGGCCCATGTATGAAGGTTCCGACAGGTTAACCTTCTGGGCCTGGGTTCCCGGGCCATTTCCTCTGTGTTTCGGACAACCATGGGAGCCTCCCTGTGTTTCCATTTGCAGGGGTTTGAATAGATATCCTCTGGCGTGCATAGCTAGACAATGTTTTAGCTGGTTGATGTCTTCAGTTTGGAAAAGTCCCAAGTCGTTGAAGCCGGTCATTTGGGCTGGTCTGTTTAGATGAAAGGTTTGCTTCACCTTGAAAGTTGCGCAATGACCCCGCAAATAGACGCGGCCGAAGTGGCCCACGGGCGGTTGCTAGTTGTCGTTTCCCGTTGGGAATCCGCCTCAATTCAAAACAATTTGACACTTCTGGTTTCTGGGCTTTGCTTTGGATCATGGGAAGCATGCGTGTTGAATGAACTTTTGGGCCGTTTGTTTGTCACCGTCCCATTGTCCAATCTCGCAACTTCTTAACCCTGTACTTCTGGAGAAGATTGCATGGACCATGAGGATAAAAGAAGTTGTGTTTTGAGAAGGAAAGGCGAGGAACGCCTTTTTGCTCGGCACATGAGAAAGGAAAACCCGGGTGCCCAAGTGACGCTTTGCTTTCTGGTGTCGAGACATTCGCTTGAGGGCCCTGTGTTCCTTGATCCTCGCGATGTCGAGCAGGGTCAGTGAATATAACTCCCCAAAAGGGGATTCCTCCAAAAAGCATGGGGTTGGTGGGTTCCATGTTAATCTTGACGGGGTACTACGAAGAGGGTCCGAAGATAGTGCGCGATGTTTGCAGATATGTCCTGAGACAAGTTTACCCAAGAGCTGTAGCTTTGGATCAGGGTGGTTTAAAGAATCACCTAATTGAAAGAAATGGAAAATATGAGCATGGAAGCCCCGTTGCTGTTAGCTTCCCTTTCAGGATCCCGCCTTTGTCTCAGATTCCCACTCTCCAAACGCAATTTTTGAAACTGTTGAACCTTATTTTGTTGTTTTCCTTTGGCCCCCCAGTAGTTTCCCTTTTAACCTTTTTTGGGGGAGGCTTCCCCTACTAAAATAGACTAAAACACTGGAGGACCTAGAATATGAAAGTTTAAGCTAGTAAACTTGCATTGAGCCACAAGCTCCTTTCCCCCAGGTGCGGACCCTTCGGGCTTCACCGTTGCCATCCTGGACACGTCTCGCAGCGTCTTCGTGGGCGAGCGACTCGGTCAGGCGGCCAGGAAGTCAAGGCCGAAAGACGTATCTCACCGGTCTTATTGTGAGTTTCTCTGGGATTCCAGCAGAATCATTGATTTTTCAGGTAGGTTTCGATTGGGCTACGACAAGCCGCGCGGATTCATTCAATCTCGTTCTACAGGGTGCAGCTCCCCAAAAAAGACAAGGACCCCCTCTAAATTGCGACCCCTCCCCGATCGAAATCAACCAGAGGCTGATAAATCTGGGGTCAGAATTATGAAGGGCTTCTGCCCCTATCGCAAGGCCGATGCAACAGGTACCCCTAGTTAAGGTGCTATGAAAGGCTCGCAGAGCGATTGCATGCCCCATAAGTGCCAAGACAGGATGACATGTATGTAGCCTTTGTGGCTAGATAGTTGTTGTGTGCACCATGTTCGTCTAAGATTCCTCCGAAAAAGACATCCGAAGCCACCAATCCGAAGCCACCAATTGGGGGGCAACCTGGTTGTCTCAGGTGCTATGCGGGCTTGGCGGATATCCAGCTGATCCATTCGGACTGGCGGATCGGGCGGCGCGTGGTCCTGGGCGGGCTACAAAGCAGCCGTTTGGATTGAGACGGCAACCTTCACGTGGGTGGTGTGCATGGGGTGTCCCAAATCGGGGAACCTCAAACCCCCCCCCAAAAAAAATGGTGGGTTTGAATATGGGTTCGCTCTGAAACCAGAGAAACAAAAGTTCCCTCAAAGAAAGACACCTTACTGCAGCCTGGTCAGGGTTTCAGATATCTGAAAACTTTGCAGGGCATTGGTTCCGTGCAAATTTGGCATGGAAGCAGAGAACTATCATTTTCTGGATGAATCTCCTTTTGAGAGACCCTCCTTTTCAGTTCCCAGCTCACCTGCTGGGTTTTGGTCAAGGCCCAAAAAGTTTGGCCAGTCAACTCAGAAGGTCTATCGCTTTAGTGGCAAGCAAAAGTTCGGACCTGTTTTGTCCAATCAGCAAGCTTCCCCATTATCCTTCGTTCGAGAAAACCACCCAAAACCCTAAGGAGAGGGCCGTGTGTCGAAAAGAACAATGGCTGAAAAGGCTGACGTTGGTGTTATGGCGACGCAAACCCGTTTCTGCGCACAGCGGCGTCATTCCAACCTGGAACGAAGGACTTTTGCAACAGTCAAAAATCAACGTTCCAAGCCGTTCCAAGCTATTTGCGAGCTGAGGTCACATGACGCACCTCAATGGACTGTCAGCAGTCATCTGCCCTCACAAGCGACATGGTCACCCATGCCGCTCGCCTTGCTTTTGTAAGGCCTCATTTGGCGTTTGACATGGGCTCTTCAGTTTCCCTTTTGCAGCGTTCCTTAGAATATCAAGTCCTCTAAATGAGCGGGAAGAAGTGTTGTGTTGAACTGGCCCTGCGTTGAAGTCTCCCTGGCGCGGCTCTGGACGGAGGCTCAAGGGTGCACCGAGGCTAAGCAAGGGAAGGGGGGGAGGCCTGCAAACTTATCGCAAAGCGGGGCTCGCGCAGTCGCGAGGCTTCGTCCAGAAGCCCAGTGCGCCGAAGACCGGGGAGTGGCTGACCTTGTGCATCCGCTTTGAAGATGTGGCACCCTGACCGGATTGGAGCGAAAGGCCCAAACAATCCCAGACTCTTGGTGCAACTTGTTCAATATTCAAATATTTGTTCAAGATCGATTTGAGCAAAAGGTTCAAAGGAAGTTCAGGCCTCCCGTGTTGTGTTTCCTTTGTTCAGCTTGTTTTTGAAAGGGGCCTCTTCTGGGTTTATGTTAAATCAACAGCTAGAAGCTGTCCCTTGTGACTATTGGCATCTATTTTGGGGCTATAAAGAAGAATTGAGGGCCATCTCCCACGACTCCCTTGTGACTCGGGGGGGAGGGGCTCCACATCAGATCGGAAATGGGACGCCTGACAGGCCAAGTCCAAGATGCACGCAGTTCTCCTCGAACCCCGGTTTTTGACCCCGGACGAGAAGGGCGCCTTTACACCGCGCCCGGGACGAGCTCACCCGTTTGGACGCGACGTGCAAGGAAGTGGCCAGGGGTTAAAGTGGTTCAATTGTGCTCTTCACCACAGTTGTCAGAGGGTGATTTTGAGGATGTCACTCTTCAATGGACCCGGTCGTTCATATAGTTGGCCAACATGTGTTGAAACAACCAGGCTCTGTTTCATTAGGGAAGCCAAAAAAAACAGATGGTCTTTCAACAGTGGCTATTTCATATGTTCAGGCCGGCAATCGCATTGGGTGCCGCAACCTTTTATGGATATACCGTACCCCACCACTTAATTGATTTGCTAACCTGGTTCATTAGAAACCCGTACCGACTAACGGGGTGCAACCCATCTCATCGGGCATCTGAATCACTTTCCGGGGAGCTCCCGCTGAATCCGCAGGGTTTATCAATGTCGGATCAACCTTTCGTGCGGGTGCTGTTTCTACAGATTCCTCAGCCAACAGGCAACCAGGCGTCATATAAACTGGGCCACCAAACTGTCGCGTCCAACCCGGGGACCTTGCGAGCAATCAGATGATGACTTCAATTAGGGAATGTTTTTGCCCATTTGGAGAAGGCAAATTAGAAGTCAGGAAGCTTCTGAGGTGTTTTTTGGCTCCGTGCTCCGTCCCAAAGAAAAATCCCCAGTAGAACAATTCCAATGTCCAGACTGGGAACCCCTAAGGGTTGCCACAAACATGCGCCAGCCAGACTCCAGATCAGCCATCCACATGTCGGGGTCCGATGCTCCGTGGCTCCCTGGCCTTGACTGAGGTGTGGCACGCCTGCGCACGTGCCAAAGTCGATGTCTTTGAATGACCACCGGACGTACCAGAAGCAGATGTCGGGCACATCCCAAGGCAAGCTGGTTGAAAAAAGCTGGCAGTGGAAAGATTTGGAATTCCGCCAAAAAAGGTGAAAGGAAAGCCCAGAAAAGGCAAACTTTAGACACCCAGGATCCTTAAGCACGAAAAATCAAGCCACGAAAAACCAGTGCAGGAAAGCCAGCACTTTGATTCATTGATCCCGCCTTGATTTTACGCATGTTTCTCCGGAGTCCCTGTATAGGTAACCGCGGTTTGCTTCGAAGCTTGGCCAGGCAGCCTCAAGAGGCCCTCGCTTCAATCCAAGCAGCCGAAGCTGCTCGGAGTGCATGCGATGCGACCCAAGAGAGGTCAGCGATTAATCTGGGCAAATTGCTAGTCCTAAGCCGATCCGATGTCGCATCCCTTGAAACTAAGGGGATTTGCAGTGGAAAAATCGTCCAACGCCGTCTGGTGCATAGGATCCCTTTGCAAAGGAAAAGCCGTCTTTTCTCTCGAGGGAGCACGCAGGTTTAGTGGCTGAAAGAGGTTGTTCGACACTTCCACTGATTGGCTCCTGCACTTCCACCCTCCTACAACCACCATGGGTGTACAGCTTGCTTTGAGGCTCGGCCGCTACCAGAAGTCGAGCACCATGTCGTCGACCTCGCCTGGCTCCGTCTCTCAGCTGGCTGGTTGGCACTTTCCCTCTCTTTGGTTGGCCAGAGGTTCGTTGTTGTATTTCATGGAATCGCCTTTTACTTTCTACCTTGGGTTTTGGTTGGGGGTTGCCCATGCAAAGGCAGGTGATTCGGGTTGAAACATGTGTTGCTTGGGCAAGGCCAACTTGAAGTGAGATTCTGGTGGCGGGGCGCTTGGGGGGAAAGCCGCATTGGCTGGGATGCTTCCCTTTCAAATGTCAAAAAGGCAAACATGCGATAAATATCGAACCGGATTATAGGTTTCAGTCTATCACGGTGTGCCTGGGTATGTCAAAATCAACCCGGAAAGGCGAGGGCCATGCGTCTGCACAAATTATAGCTATCTCATTAAAACGAGCTCAGCGGATCCAACACTGGAGCCGTGCAAGGGCAGCCATGGGAAGGGCATTCAATGGCCACCAGAAGTCACAAATGCTTGTTTGAACCATAGGCTCCGAATCAGCAGGAAGGCGACTCACTCGTTTCGTTTTTCCGGCTCAGGTTTTCAGGCAGTGGTCCTCTCCATCGCTGGAGTCAGGCAGGGGCAGCCGGCCAGCCGTTTGTCTCTTTGGCGAGCTTGACGGTTCGGGAGCAAATCCAGCTCACTATGTAGGTCCTTTACTTGGAATTCCTTGCTTCAGTTTTGAAACCAGGGTTCTCTTTTCAACTTGCCCTCTGACGGCTTCTCGTTGAGCTTGCCAAATGGCCGGCGATTTACAGCGTAAAATGATGAGGCTAGACCGAATCTTACTTGCTTGTAGCAGGGTTTCCTAGAAGTCCCTTTTCGGTGGTTCTAATCTAAGCATCTATTGTTGGGCCAATTTAAGTTGAGTGTCCTTTTGGTGGAAGCCACAAGGTGCTGGGTTTGTCCAGGAAGCATCACTGCCGATGTGGCTTGCGGGTTTCCTGCTCAAGCTTCGAAAGTTACATTTTGGAACAATGTTCAATGAAAGCCCGGGTAAGTTTCGCTAGGGGAAATCCTCCCGAGGTTGCCATGCCGGAATGACAGACGGTGTGGACCGCCTATGAACAGAGTGTTAGGTTTGTGGCGAATGTGCTTTTGATCTGGGCAAGAAGCACCTTCACCGATGACATGTGCGTCGTGGACCGCCTTCTCGAGTAGTTGGTTTCCGGATGGTTCCGCAACAGTCTGCCATCGCTTGTCTGTGCACAAAACCGCGGGCGTCCAGCGGTGCTCTTCTCGACTTTGGAAGGGCTTTGGTTCTTTGCAACCCAAGAAAGGCGGTGCCCTTTTTGCCTCGGGAATCCGGAGGTCTCTGAAACATCACCGTTTTTTCCTCAGGCTCCTTTGGAGTCCTTGGTCCAGCTGGCTTTATGACTAATATGAAGTAGCAACCACCTAGCCAGCTTTCAAAAAGGAGGTTCAAACAAGAGGTACTTAAGTATGTTTAAAGAGGGGGTTGGCCCAACCCTGACTTCCCAACTCTGCTTTGAGGCGACTCCAGAATGAGCTTCCGCGAAAGGATGCCAGAGGAGGATGTCGCAATGGAGATCAAGGAGTTGAAGGACACTTTTTGCTGGTGGTTGCTCATGTTCTAGCTTTTCTACCCTCCGGCCCCCAATCCATGTGAGCAAATGAGAACCGTGGATGTGCGAAAAGGCCCGGACGTATTTTTCGTTGGAGGCATTGCTGACAGCGATCCGGACTCTGCAAAAGCTGTATGAAGCAGCAATGTTCATGGGATTCAGTTGGGAGTTGGCTACAGGAGTCCCTCCGAAGTCTGGCCAGAGAAGGCTAGCGCTGAGTTGTGCCTTTAAACCTCGCTGAGGTTGTAGTTTCGAAGATCTTCGGCGCAAAAGCGCTTGCGCGCAGCGTGAGATAAGATTCCGACCATTCGAGTCCTATGTTTCTGGGTGTGCTTTCAGAATTATAGCCCTGACTGAGCATTCTGTCTTCAAAGGGGACGGAATGTGTGCACCAGAATTGGCTGACACGCTCGCTTGCTTTCGCAGGAGAAACTTGGGCTGCTATTCGGCTGGACCGTTAAACTGTATCTCTTTGCAAATATGTGCTTCTTCCCACCCGCGAAAGGCAACTTTGTGGGGAGGGGGCAACGGCTACCAAGCAGTCTGAGAGGAAGAATACATGCGTATACAATATTTAGAAATATACATAGGTATGTGTGTGTATATACTTATATATGGTATATATCGCTCTCTGTCTCTCTCTCTCTCACTTTCTCCCACGTCCCTGGTCGTCTGAACCCTCTTGTAGTGTAGAGAGGCACTGTGTGATAGATTCTGGGCTGAAAGGATCAGCCGGCACAAGTCCGCACTCTTTGGGGAGGCCAGGGGCCCCTAAAATTTAAGGCAACAGGGATGGTGGTGGACATGAATCACTTCGGACCCATCCCCATCGCCGTGGGACACGGTAGAACACCCCCAAGCCTTTGGGTTCAAACCGGGGCCATGGCTCGCCATGGACTACTCACTTTAGATGCCCCTCGCTTCCGACAGACTATTTTCACCAGTGCAACTTGTTTCTGATCCGCTCAAGTTTCTTTAACGCGGCGATTGTGTGGAACTGTCCTTGTGTTTTTTCTTGAAGCCAACCTAAAAAATGAAGCGAACTCCGCAAACAAATGCGGGCTCCCTTCAGGCTATGGGTTATTTGGGTTTCTTGGCTCACAACACCACCTCCTCTTCAACCCCCCCCCCCTTCCGCGGCCCATGGCTTTGGCCTGCCATGTGGGGCACGGCATTTCTGCCGCTGGCGGCGGCCTCCGGGTGCTCCTGGGCGCCGCTGCCGGGCGATGAGGCGGGAAGTCCCACAGCCTGCGCGACAGGCGTGGAATGAGCTCCGATGGCCACATTTCAGGTGGCTCCCCCGTGAAAAAATCTCTGCAAAGTGTTGATGAGGTAGATTTCACGGGTTCAGAATTTCCAAACGAAACCTGGGGTTAAACGATTCAGGGAGTTGCCGTTTGATGCCAAGAGTTCTCTGTCGGATACCTCACCCAAACCGGTTTTGAATTGTCTTGGCTCGAGGGAATGAATGAGATTGTGGTTTCCTTTTAAGAGGGTCCCCTTCCGCGGTCCGCTTCATTCCCCAAACCCCTGTTAGATGCCACTGAGCACCAGGTGGGTGGGTGGGTGGATGAACGGACGGGTGGGGTTGCATTGGATATGAATTTGCTGGATGGACGGATGAGATTTGATTGGGCGAGAAATAATGCAGCTAGCCCGGGTACCCAAAGGCCCTAACAACGTACCAGCGCTGGCGGTTTGGCAGCGGCATGGCTTGGGCGAAGTCCAATGCCGGCACCCTCTCACCAGCAAACATGGAATCTTCCAAAAAGTGTGTCTGTGTGTGTGTGCGTGTGCGTGTGCCCATTGGTCTCTCTATTTTGGTGGAAAGGTACATGTCATGTCCAGACTTTAGGGGAGCTGGACGTAGTTTTGCCAAGTGGGACGTTGGGTGCCCAGGGCGTTGCTTGCTTGGAAGCCATTAGGGGCCCAGCAAAGTCCTGCAGTTAATCCACCCCGATGGAAAATGAACCGGCTATCCTAAGACGAATGGAGAAACCAATCAAGACAATGAAGGCGTAGGAGCAACCAACTATGCGGGAGTTCCTTGGGATGGCAGTGCTTTTGGTGCGGTGGTTTGCCGCTAGGCATGGAATCGACCTGCCAACTTTCAACGGTTTGTTACATTTCAAACCCCACTTTAAATGACCAAAGTCAGATTGGGCAAAGCTTGAGGTAGGCTCAGGTCACCGGAGTTGGAAGCTTGGGAAGGCCCGTATCCGAGCGCCCGGAGGACTTCCGCGATGGCCCACCCACAGTGGAGAGGCCGAGAGCGGGCTACACTTTGTGTGGATCGAAATCCATCCCACGATTCAAGAAGCACCGCAGATCCTGCAGATCCTGCCGGATCCTGCAATCCGATCCTTCATCGTATCTACAGAGGGTTTCACCTTGCATGCGGTTGGGTTCAAATCCTGTCCACTGCCCTTGGTTTGTTCAATGACGCCAAGTGTCACAAGAAATGGAACTCCCGCCGTGGCACAGAAGGGCTTGACCTTAGAAGTTAAAGGAGAAACCACGTTGCATGGACACAACTGCGCAAGGGCCACCAACCATTTGGTAAAACCAGAAGCCAAAAGGCTCGGTAAGGAAACATTCATTGTGCTTGTTCTCCTTTTCCTCTTCCACCAGCCCAGCAAATTGTAGATGTTATTTGATCGACCTTTTGATTTTGGGAAATCTACAAGCCCACCTAGTAAGCAGGGAATAGCAGAGATTTAAGGGTTTTAACCCCGGTGACATCCATGGTTATCACCTACTTCCTCAGTGGTTTGAACATTCAAGTGCTGGCGGCGGGCTGCGGCGCGTTTCTGGGGGAGGCGCTTCACCCGGTGCGCGGTGGCACTGGACGCAGCCGGGGGACACCAGAGCGGATTGTTCCAGACCTTGGCCTTTGGAGCCGCCCCAGCGCCCCGGCGAGAGCCGTGGCCTCATGGCCGGTGTTGCGCCCCATACTTTTAGGGAAGATCCGTGTGAAATGCAACGTGAGCAACAGAATGGGGCTCAAAAAGAGAATAAGGTGGCCTTCGTTTGACCACGCCAATGTCGAGAGTTTTCTTCTAGAAACACATGTTAAGCGATCATTGGCCCATCCCGTTCAGGAATTGGAAATGTAGCGAGCCATGTGAAACTCTGTTCTTTTCAGCTGTTTTGTGTTGGTCCCAACTTATGCCAACCCCATGGCCAATGCCACTAGATGAACATGGATGCTTTACTGCATATGATTAGTGTGTTTTCAGCTTTTTGTTCATTTGGTGCTGCCTGTTCCCAGTAAGGGTTGCAAAGGGCACTGGTTTGCTAAACAGGTGCTGGGAGGATGGACCCGGCTTCCATTCCCCGCAAGACACGGGTTCCTTCTTGACAGGGTCCCGCAACAAGAAGTTTGTGTTCGGTCCGTTTTTCAGCCACGTTCTTTCGCCATTGTTTTCCACGCAACCCGCAAGCTGTTGCGATAGTTTGGCCCGACCTCTCTTTGTTTTGAAGGGAAATCGAGCAGGGACGTGTTGACCAGAAAGGCAAACCCTGATGTTCCTGTTGAGCTGGCGTTGTGCTTTCCATCGTTGTCCACTTTCAGCTGTATGCTTAAGAAACAGTTTCAAGTCGGCAGGCGAGCCAAGGATGTCTCCGTTTTCAGCGAGCTGGCAGCATTTGAAGGATGACAAGCTTGCACTGCACGCACACGATAAAGCACCACGGTGTGCCCACCCCCAAAGTGATGGTGACAGGGATGCCCGATGAAGGATGACAGTCCTCTGTGGGCACAAGGTCTGCCTTTTTGGTGTTGCTTCATTTGCCCCTAGGGACACCAGCGCCCTCATAAAACTCCTCGCTCGTTTGAAGGCCCGGCAGTGGTCGTGGGCCTGCGGGTGTGCAAAGTATAAGAAGCTCACCCGGGGGTAGGGGTTCACTCATGGTATAGATCATTTACTTGGGGGTTCCTAATTTCCGATTTGTGGGTTGCAGTGATTTGCTTTGGTTGTCCCTTTCAACCAGGTCGGATCCGTGCACAGCACAGAGAGGGGCATGACCCTTCAAAGGAGGAACGGAACCAGGCCCCAAGAAGGAGCTACCACTTCGAGCATCGTGTGAGCCTGACGCTGAGCTCGCTTTGGGTTGCTTTATCGCTTCCTGCATCGGATAATTTTAGAGGCTCAAATTTCCATCACCAGACCAAATTGGTCTTCCTCGTACCCATCGAAGTTGACTGGGTGCTCAGCGCAGTGACCTGCCCTTCATGACAGATTCATGGAAATGGGAATCCCATTGCCGGAGTTGTGCCCCTAGGATTGCACCAGCCATATATCACACTTTGGTATGATAGGAAACGTCAAAGCTTGATGTGGGCATGTTGTTGAGTTGATTTTTTTGTAGCTTTTAGGGCTGGGGAAGAAGCAAACATGCGCCCCGTGCATGTGTTCGGCGGGATTTCGGTGGCAAAATGTGTCTCCAAGGCCGGCCCTAGTTTGGCATCTCAGAAGGCCACAGCCAAGGCCTGGGGTCCCTGGTTTCCCGTTTGTTGGTCTGCATCGCCTTTTGGGCACGGCTAAGGCGAATTTCACTTGGTAAGGCTTGAGTGGTTTCAGGCTTGAGGTGCGTCATGGATTCACGGGTGCCTTTTGTTGGCGCTGAGGTGACGAAATGGTCAGAACCTGCTCAGAGGGCCTCATATTCAAGGAGAGCAGGGCTGATTGGGTTTATTTTCACAGGAACTCCGCTGCTTAAATATGGACGGCAGTCGAGCACTGGCATACTTAGTTGGCAAAATAGGGGCCGAAATTGTATGGACACCTCCCCTTGGTTCCTCAGCCCAAAGATAGCGAAAGCCTCAACACTTGGCGCAGTTGGGACGTTGGACACCCAGGTGGGGCTATGTGCAGGGCACCGCTAGGGGACACGTTCGGAGCCTTCTCAGGAGGTCTTCATCAACCATCGGTATTTGGCCGCACCCTGGGCAGCAAGGCGCCAGCTTGCGGTAACTCGGGGGAGTGCGGGGGGATCCAATTCGGGCCTTAGCCTTCAGCGGCACCACCCATGGCCAAGGCAACCGAAGCTCCCGAGATGGCGCGGCTGGACGGCCGGCAGAAGTGGGTGCGTGTGGGCGAAACGCGGCAAAATGGACAGAGAACTGCCTTCCTCACTGAAGTTGCGAAAAAACAATGTCAACCATGGATTAAATAAACCTCGTGGATTTTTGGGTTTGGGAGTTTGCTCAAAGGTGAAGAACCCTCCAAAATCAATCAGCTAGGTTGTGGCTTGCAAAATCCTAAGTCGACATGAGCTTTCAGCAAGGTTTCAAAGTGTTAGCCTTTGATTTGTTTTCTCCTGCTGCGCAATGGCTGGGACAAAGATGAAATGACAAAGCTTTAAACACGTTTAATTTTGAACAGGTGGGTCTAAGGATTGCCAGGGCCCCCACAACGTGCAATTCACAAGGAAAAGACCCAAATGTACCCTATCAGACCTCCTTGCGGCCCTTCTGAGCCGCTACCCGCTGCTACTGGATCAGCCGGCTTGACAAAACGTAGGATTCAACAGGTTGTTCAGAAACTGGTGCCGTATCGACAGGTGCGCGGATCTGCAGAGTAATTATCACTGAGAGGTATTTGTGTCAAGGGAAATCACTTTCGGGGATGGGACACTCACGGTATCAGCAAGAGGCCAAAGTTGATGAAATTCTAGAGGCTGCAGCCCCTGATGAGGCCTTGCTGATGGGTCAACAAGAAAACATGCCTCTTCCTCCATGTTTTTTTGCAAAACCATTTGTTTGAATTGGATCCCCGGGAACACTATTCAAATTCACAGATACCCAAGAAAGCAAAAGGGGTTCCCCGACTAGGAATTTCATCTAAGATCAGCGACGATTTCGGGCTCCATGCATTTCGTTGGCAGAGCCACGCTTGGTTGGTGTCCTGTCGGCCTTCCTTTCCAACCCACAAACCAGATTTGGGACCTTTCCCATTCAGCTAGTGTCTGGACTTTCTGGATTTTTCTGCACGAAATAGAACGAGCTCTCTTAGGGGAAAACGAGCTGATGAAGGTCCTTCACTGGCGGTTCCCATATGTCCAGTTTGGATGCCATTGGGCGATGGTGGAAGATAGATGCATTTGTCGAAAGCAAGTTTGGATGCATTGGCCATTCCCTTGCCACATTTGTTGAGGCACTTTTTTTTGATGGTAAATATCCCTTGGTCGCCGTTTCCTTTCACCGAGAAGAAGGCGAATCAATACCTTACGTTTCAAATCTTGCTTTTCTTGGTCTCTGGTTCTTTTCCTCCAACAAGAGATCAAGTTGTAGGGTAGAGCCAGGAGGTTTAAACACGCTTGCAAAGCCTTCCTTTTTGCAAGGGGGAAATCGCCGAGGCTTGCGTTCCTAAGCCCTGCGGAGAAGTCTTCGCAGACCTGGCGCTGCCGCGGCTTCTGGAGCCTGCGTGCGGCTTCCCGCTGTTTTGTTTTCCTCTTTTGGCATTCTTGATTTCGCCATTCAGGGCTCAGTTGGAATGACCCCGAGCTGAGCCATCCCTCGTGCCCAAAGCCACTCCCGATTCCGTACTGAGAAGGAGGTTATCTAAATGCCCACTTGTGCGCGAGCCGTTGAATGAGCGCTTGCCTATGCGGCTTCTTGCTGCTGCATCTCTCCAACTATGCCAATGCGTCACGTGGAGGGTTCCCAGGCCCTATTCTGACAGCTTACTGTTTCTTGCCTTCCTCAACTTATGCAACTTTTCATGGGGGTTCGATCGACAGGGAAAGGAAGTAAGGAGAGGGTTCTTTTAGGTTCCTTTCTTGGGTTTGAAGTTAGAGATAGGGAAGGCCGTTCAGCTTCCACTCGCCTGTGCCTCACGCGCTTTCGTGACAGGAGTGGCGCGGCAAGTCTGAGAGATACCATCCAGCTCCCGGGCCCTGCGCTAGCGAGGAGAACTCGGAGTTCAATGACTCGAGTGCTGCAAATGGGATTCATCCCTACACGCGGGGGGGGAGGGGGGGGACCCCCCAAAAAAGATAGGGGGAAACAAGGTTCCAAAGGGGAATGTCTGGGTGTGTCTGACCTTTCCCCAAAATGTGTGGTGTCCGGTCAATTTCCCTTGGAAAAAGCCCCTAGAAAGAAGCTACAAGTGCTGGATTTCGCACCCGCAGGCCGAAAAGAGGGTTCTCCAACTACAGTGAGAGGGAGAGAAGGAGTTTAGGAGTAAAGGAGTGAAGGAGCTCATGATACAAGTGCTGTAGTGCGAGTTCTAATCGTTAGTTAGCAGATCAGAACTCAGTTGCGACCGCGATTCGGCAAAATAAACCTTTCTTAGTGCTGATACATTTGGAAATGGGACGTCGTCAACGTACCACTTTTAGGTCTTTGCTGTTTCTTGTTTCCACTGTTTGTTCTACTTTTTAGTCATGCCTTCTCAGTCATTGGCAGCTTGTTCGGCCCACTTACTTTGAGTTGGCCAGTATTGTCAAGGTATCGGTTTTGGGTAGGGCACCATTTTCTGCGATAAAAATCGACACATGTCAGATATCCCAAGGATGGCGCCTGCTATGCGTTTCTGAACCGTGAGATCTTCTGGGAGCACTGCACCTTGCTCATGGGATTCGGTGGTCACGGACTTTATAGGATTTTTTGACGGCCATGGCGGAGGTTCCGAGTACTGGGAGTCGTGACCAGTGGAGACATAAAGAGTCTTGACAGTGGCTCATACTGTGTTTGTGCCGCTGTGCCTGTTTGCGCAGGAAGGCGTTTCAAGCCAGGCTCCAGTCCCATGACGCTGTGCAAGACCTTGGCCGGCGCCCAACCGTGCCAACAGTGAATGCTGGTTTTCTGCAGAACACAGCGATGTCTCAATCCGGGAGTGAAAAAAAAGAAGATCCAGAGTCAACAAAGAAGCTGAGTTTAATCTTGACCCTTTCTTATGGCTGCTTTTCCAATTTATGTCGGACATTTGCCAAGCAAAGTCTTGGCTGCTGAATTACATCTTTAACCGTTCACTTTTTGGAAATCGTGTTTTACACAGGCAGTAGCTAGCAGGGTGCCCCTTGGCGGGTGGTTTTCAACGGAAACCCAAGGGAAAGCCAAAGTCCATGTTGGGGCCCCGAATGGACCACGGCGCTTGGGCAGTTTTAGCCGAGGCATGGCTGGCACCTTGGTGTGGCGCCTGCTTTCGGACGCCTCCTTCTTCGACCGCCTCTTCGGTGCGCAGATCCGCCCTCCGGCCAATGAGGGGGGGGAGGAGGGGGAGGTCGTCAGGGGCCCTTCAAGTGGCTTCCTTGAGTCACTTCTACGACTTTGTTTGGCTCTCTTCTGAGGGGTTGCTTGAAAGGAAGGCAAAGAGCAAACCAACAATTTTGGAGTGGAATCTCCAGTTTGATTCTCGTTGGCTTTCTAACCCCTTTAAGTCACGATTTTGCGAGGGGTGATTTTGAGGATGTCACTTTGGACCCAGTTCAAAATGAGCCCCCTCAAACTCCACTCAGAACGGCTAGGTCAAGGGCCTCGGCAAATTACAGGGAGAAAAGCAAGCTCTACGCATGTCCCTTGCAAATTTCCTTGATTCTAGCTTGTGAATTAACTCGCTCTGCTCGTTCACCCGGGCCTTGAGGAAGTCTGCCTGAAGACGAGCTGGGGGCCTCTGATCAACCGGAGCATCAGCAGGCGCAGCCTGGTTTGGTGCAGTCAGTCCAGCAGCTCGAGGTCTGAACTTCCAATGAATCTGCATACCCAAATAGGGCTGGAGCTGTGACGTCAATTGCCAAAGCCAACAGGCTACATTTGCCTTCAGATCACCTTGGGCCCTCAGCACAAGCAAGGGCTTCAAACAGCATCGCCACATCCTGTCTTAAAGTGTGGCTACCCTCCAGGAGGCATGACACCCACACTTCTAAACCAAAAAAGGCCTCGGAGAAAAGAACAATCCAGAGGTAGTTAATTCACCCCAAACAAGCCCCTGGTCTTAAGTTTCTTTAGCGAGGTGAAGAACTGGAACCGTGAGGAACAAAAGTGGCACCCCTCAGACCAACATTCCACCACAAAGCCCGTGCGAATTGCCTGGCGTTCCTTCTTGCAATAGGGGCCTCAACTGGATTCGGTTGAGGCCTGAGCCCTAAATCGATCCCCTCAAACCTGGAGTGGGAGGGCCCGAAAGGTGGGGCTCGGGCTTCCGCGGAGCTCTGTCGGGAATGGAGGCCGCCTTGGCCCACTACAAGGCCTGCCGCCTGGGCGGCGGCAGCTACTTCGGAGTGCACTTCAACGCGATGGCTCAGCTGGCCGAAGGCTACGAGCTGCTTGGAAGAACCCTCCAGTTCAGGCGCACCGACTCTTCTGGGCACCGGTGCGCGTTCTTCTTTTCTGCTTTTCGACTGGAAGTACCGGCACAATCGTGTTGTCCCTTTTCGCGTGGCGGCTTCGGGCCCCAAATATGGCATCAACTCCAAGAGGGTTCTAAATATATTCTGGGAAAACTTGCCAGTTGTCAGCTGGAAGGGGGGAATGACTCAGCATCCCTCTGCCCATAGCGAGGGATCCATATCCAAAAGAGGGCCAGTTTAGCAAAAGCATTGGATAGCTGCTGGGGGGCCCTTTTATTTCCCATGGTTGCAGATTTGCTTGTTTTCGGGGATCAGCGAATGAGCCCATCAAGCCCATCACTTCCCCAATCGCCACTTAAGGCCCAGAAATTCCTTAGGAGGGGTGAGTCCTTTGTCTACAAAGGCGATGTGGGTGGACCTTTAGCCATTGATATGTGTGGCGGACGTGTTTTTTTTCAGGAACCAGAATGGGGCGCTAGCCACCAAGATTTCTCCTTGGCGGTTGTTGCGGCAACTTATGACTCCCCGGAGAAAGCTGCAAAGTAGGGGCACGTTTTCAGGGGACCAAGTGTGACCCAGTAAAGCGGACACGGGAGGTAAGTCACACACACTGAGGCTTGGGATGTGCCTGCCCTCACTACACACCAGCTGGAGCCCCTCGATGGAGCCTGGGTTGCCAAATGAAACGCTCCCACAATTGCCCACCCTGCCAACGCGCCCTCCAGCTCGCTGCTTCAAAGCCAAAGAAAGATATCATGCCGCTGGTGCGCTGGGAATTCGCCCCAGTGGACTTTTGTTGGAAAGAATTTGTGCATTCCATTGAAAAAGGTGGCCGATCGTTTGCTCGTTGAGGCGGAAGGCCCAGCGAGCCTACACACCTTCTTGATGGGCATGTGAAAAGGAAATTGCAAATTTGGCAACTGCCTTTCAGTTCCATGCCCACCCCCTTGAGAATAGAAGCAGGGAAGGAGTGTGACCCCTGGAATTCTATTCGCCACTTTCCTCTTCCTGTGGCAAGAAGCATGCATGTTTGGGGTTCAACCATTCGCACCTCCAGGATCCCATGCTGGAGTGGTGGCTGGGCTCGCGCATGAGCCGCTTCCCGGACATAGACGTTGATGCGGATAGCGTGCAGGACGGAGACGAGAGCAGTTGAGGGTTTGGGGTCAACCATGCGACCATATGGGCATGTGCTAAAATGGGGGGGTGGGGGACATGCGAAATGGCTGGTGCCCTTTGGTGCCCCTTCAAAGCCATGTTTAAAACAAGGTGCCCTAAAGAGAAAATGCAAATATATACAACACATATATATATATATATATACATGTATTTAGTTTTTTTGTTTATTTCTTGTTTTCTTTGTTTTTATGTAGATATATAGCACTTCATTTGGATACACATTTGTCTCTGTCCTGAAGTGGGATCGGACCTCCAATGGTGCCCTTTCAAAGCAGCACTCTCGTTCCCATGGCCACCGGAGGTCTGCCAGTGGGGGGGAGCTGATTGGTTTAGGCCTTCGAGCTGGTTCACCGCTCAGAGCTGGGCGTGCGTTGGGCAGTGGTGGGCTTGGGCCGAAGTGGCACCACCTCGCTGGCAGCCTGGCTGGACACCCACCCCCGCCTGCAGCTGCGGCTTGGCTCTGACCTTTGGTGTGTCTTAAATTTTGAGGACCCAAAGACTATTCTCCTTCTGGTCTCCGCATTGTTTCAACAAAACCGGGGATTCCAAGAAAGACACACCCCCACGTTGTAGATGTGGAAATCACTTCAGAATGTCCAGGGCAAACCTGGGTTAACAGATTCTGCTGGGTCTGAGCAGAACGAGGGAATGACCCCTAACTTAGCCATCCTTTGTGGCTTCCTAGGTAATATTCCCCAAACCCCTCTTGATTCCCAGGAAGCTAGCCAGATAGTTGTCGAATAAGGGTGTTGCCGGGATGCTCACCCAAAACCAGGGCATGCGCAATCATTCAGCCAGTCCAGACCCAAGTATATTTCCCCCTCAAAGAATGGACAACCCCATCGGAGGCTGAACTATCCTTTTTGCCATGTTGCATTGCGCAGGGTCCAAGTCTGGCCCAGTGAAAGGATGGCTTCCCCTCGTTTGGGGTCACGAAAAAAAGGCCACATCTGACTTTGGAAGCCTGGCTCGATCCCACACGTTCAAACTTTTACACTTGTAGTGATTGTCTTGGTTTGTGGTCACTGGTTGCCCACAGGAGTCCATTTTTCAGCACCCCAGAGATTTCACTTCGGAGGCGTTTGTCAACCCAGGCGATGACCTTTGAGGGGTCTCCGTATACCTGCTGTTTTCGTGTTCGTTTCTCTTTTGACACTCACAAGAATGCTTTCCCCATGTCCAATGCAGATCAGGCTGCATCACCCGGGCGACTTCTTCCGGGAAGGCAGCTCGACTCAACCGAGTTGTTCCATCGACGAGTTGACTTTGAAGCAACCTCGAAGGCCCGACTCGCAAGGGGAGCCAAGGGAAGTGGTCCTGGGCGCTAATCACCATGCATCTCGAGTGACCAACTGCGCCACAGCCAGGGAGACCCTCAAAATGCCCAAAGCAGTTTGGCTGCGTTTGAGGCTTAGTTGATTTTGAACATTCCGCCAAACTTCCAGAAAGTGTGGTCCAGGCGGATACTTCCGGGAAGTGTGGTTCTTGAAGCCTGAGCCAAGGCTCCTTCGAGTATTTGTTCCGGCGCTCTCATCTGGAGCACCTGGTGAGGAAGGCGACTGAAAATGCCCTCTGAGCAATCAAGTTGCATCAATCTTAAGCCTGTTTTGGTATACACCCCAGCGAATCAACATGGAACCGGCAACAGGAGGCCACGGAAAAGAGCTTAGTCGAAAATGAAGGGTTGCAGGGGGGTATGTTTTGATTCGAAATCCAGCTACTTATGGGCCCAACATGGCCAGGGGGTGATGTATGGATCTACCATTCAGCTGTTCAGCGTTAGAGCCAACATACTCAAAATGCGGCCGTTTGTTTGGGCTTTGCTGGCTTTCTAGGCTCAAGGACCATTGAAAAGAGCAGCGTTGAAACCGTAGGCCTTCTAAAAGTGATATTGGAGGTATGCCCCACTGGTCAACCCAGAAAGGGTTCGGCAAAAGGGCCTCCTCGGAAGCACAAATGTGGGAGCAGGGTTGGGCTACCCCTTGCTGGTTCTCAGTGGGGAATGAAGGAACGACTATGATCTGGTAGTTTTTCCCCTGTTGAGAAGCAGCAAGTTGCCCCGGACATACCAGGCGTTTGCACACGTGCGTTTCGGGGCCCGGCAGGCGGAGATTCAGGCGGTCAAAGCTCGGCCTGGAGTGCTGGTGGGGATCAAGGAGCCCAGCTTGCTGCGATCCGATCGCGGGAGGCAGCTTAAGCTGTTCTTAGCATGATTTTGAGCGGCTGTGCTTTTATGCACAGCCAAAGCTTGTTTACGTTGCTCGCAGCGGCTGCGACGCTGAACTATATATCCGCTAGCTCTCGCTCTTTAAGATGCTTGAAAGCAGCGCCTTTGCAAGCAAGCCCGCTACAAGAAAATCATCCGCGAGAAGCGCTTCCGAGGAGGCGGTTCTGAGTGCGCGCAGAGGACGCTTACGCGGGCCGTCGCTGCGCAACACGCTTTTGCACAAGAATAAGGTCTGGCTGCAGCGCTCGCAGCCCTTGGCGGCTTCAATCAAGTTTTTTTTTTGCGGTTCTGCCAGCGATCTTCACAATGAGCCCCTGGGCCAGATGCCACGCAAGGGGACCCGATGATGATGAGCATGATGATGATGATGATGATGATGAATCACTACGCATCCCCAACATCGCCAGCAGGGATGAGGATATTCATCGCTACTCATGCCCAACATCAGTGATGATGATAGTCATCACTATGCATCCTCAGCATCACCAGCAGTCATGATGATAATCGTGACTACGCATCTCCTGCATCTCAAGTCGGCTCTAACGGGACACTTGGAACGTCTGTCAATAAAAGCATTTCAGTGACATTCAAACAAACACCGCCTCTCAAAACAAACCTTTCCAATAAAGACACCGCAGAACAAAATTAATCCGCCGACCCCTTCTCCTCAAAGGGGGAGGCGCACAGGAAGGGTGGTCGCAAGCCCACGGGTGGCTGGTAAATGCGCATAATCGAAGATTCAACATCATCAGCATCATCAGAGTCATCGATCATCATGGTGATCATCATGCTAGCTTGATCCTGCGAGTGGCTTGTCTGGCCGCCTTTATTTGTTAATATGGATTCAAGTTAGGGACTGCTGGTCATGTCATGCTGGGGATGCATAGTGATGATTATAATCATCACTGATGTTGGGGGATGAGTACTGATGAAAAGTCTCCTGCCTGCTGAGTGATGCCGTCCTTGGTTCCAGTCAGTCATTCTCATTCTCGTGAGTTACCAGTTGGTTTGCGACGTAATTTGCTGTTGTCCTTGGCAGGCCTATTTAATCATCTTAAATTTGGGTTCGTCCGGAGCACGCTTATTCGGCTGGCTCCCCTCTTGGCAAGGACATCATACCTCATCTATTCTCGGTGGTTGCTTTGGGTAGGAAACTCCAGATTGATATGTCTGCTGACGCGTGGCTGAGGCAGATGCTCGCAGAGATGAAGAGGACGAAGGTCTTGATCATCGTGAAGACTCCCAGCAGAGTAGCAATGTATTTCGTTCTTGGCCCTTCACATGTGCGTTGTTGTTGATGTCCAGGGGTTCTTCAACTACATTATTTCTGCTAAGGCTTTTTGAGATTTGTTTCAAGCCGCTCATTAACGCCCTGAAGGCGTGGAGGAGTTCGCATCCAAGCCGTACCTGGGCCCCATGGGTTCCCGATTTTTCGCAGCGTTTTGCAGATTTGAAACTATTCTTTGGAGTGCCTCTCTCAGCAGTGGAGCCCAGGAACTGGGCAGATTGGCTGAAGAGCTCTCTACTATTTGCAACTCCGGCGTGCACCCCTGAGAGCATTACCAGGCGCACACGCGTCGGTTTGGGGTGCTGTTACTAGGCTCGGCGCCATTCTGGCGAAGGGGAGTCACTTGTGGTTGGTTTTGCACTAGGACCAGGAAACCCAAGCATTGTCTAAGACGACACAGGAAGCTCCAGATGTCCTCCAAAGCCTCCTAAAGAATTACCAATCCCAGAAGGCCTGCAAGGGGCAACAAAGTGGATCACTGGGCAGCGCGCAGTCCGAGGTTGGCCCACTCAAAGGAAGTTTAGAAGAAACTTCCGTCGTACGGAAACTAACTAAAGCTTCAGACTCAATCGCGCCTTCGAAAAGATAGTCCTGCATAAAGCATACAGAATATGAGATGGCCTATGCGAAAAGATTGCGAAAAGATAGGGAAATCAGTTGGCTGGTGCACAGATAAGATGAACAAAGGATGAATGTATGCGAGAAAACATGCGTTGGCGCAAGGGAATAGTAATCGCGAAAGAAAGCGACTTTCTGCGGGTTTTGGCGGTCACCGCCGCCTGTTTAGTACGAGATCGGAGCGGGCGCATTGGCGCAGCAACGCAAGGTTTCAAGCTCTTTGGCAAGCTGAGGTGCGAATTTCCCGAGGCGCGGCTTTCGCAAAGTGTCTTGCAGGGGGCGCAGCACCTTCGCAAGCTCAGGCACAGGGAGCGTGGCAAGAGCGCTTTCGCAGTAGAGAGAGAGAGAGAGAGAGAAGAGAGAGAGAGAGAGAGAGAGAGAGAGTGAGAGAGAGAGAGAGAGAGATGAGAGAGAGAGAGAGGGAGGGGGATGTCAAAGTACATGCGGTGTTGTACTACATAGCTTGTACATGACGGCAGGCATTGAGCTTGCTACATCGAGAGCCCATGCAAAATAGGAGTTGCGCAGACTAAAGGTTGTTTTTTCAACATTACAGCACTTGCACTTGTAGTAAACAACAGTCAGAATTTAACGTGGTAGCGGAGCTGAGATCCTAAACATGGGAGCTCCAGTACGTACTACAACAACTGCAACAGCAATCACGTGCCAAACTACTACAACACGTCAGGAGAAGCAGCAGCAGCAGGAATAGAGAATGGGCCAACAGGAGAAACAGTAGGAGCCACGACTACGGGAGCAGGAACAGAACAAGACAACAATGTTCGGAGACTACACAAATACAAGCTGCCACCACCTTTCTTCACTGGTGACTACTCCCAGTATGAAGAATGGCTGTTCAAGCTACAAGCATATCTCGGACTCATAGACCGAGACTTCGACTTGCTACAACGGCACCAGTAGCTACACGACAAGTTGAGGATGCAGACATCAGAGCACACATACGCGACCCTGCACAAGCAAGCAAAGCAGTAGACCTCGCCAAAGACCTACACTACATCCTCATCAACGTATGTCAGGGAGCAGCAGCTATAGTAGTAAGGCAAAACCGCTACAACGCAAATGGATGTGAAACCCTTCAACTCCTGCACAACAGGTTCAGCCTACCAGTAGGAACGCCAATGAAGCACAGTTTGAAGAGCAATTCCTACAATGGGAATACGACATCAACCGCAGCACTACCAGATGGAGTAAAGATTGCAATACTACTCAACAAAACCAAAGGAGCACTGCAACAACATCTGGAAAATGCGAGCTGGACAGATCACGAACTACCACGAGATCAGAGCAGTCGTCCTGGACTACTACAAGACGATCTCTGCTTTCTCAAGAGCTACTGCAGCTGTAGGCACAAACTACAATGGAGTACCTGCACCAATGGACGTTGACAACATTTGGAGGAAAGGAAGAAACTACAATGGCAAAGGAAAAGGCAAAGGCCACTAACAGGAAGCAAAGGCAAAGGCAAATACAGGAGCAAAGGACACTACAAGGGATTTGACAAAGGCGACAAAGGAAGCTACAAACAAAGGAGGATACAACAAGAGCAAAGGAAAAGGCTACTCAGGATCCAAACCCTATGGATCAAGCAAGGGCTACAAAGGCCAAGGAAACTACCGCAAAGCAAAAGGAAAAGGAAGCAACAACTACATGACACGGCAGTGATGTGGCAAGCCCGGCCATTGGGCCCAGGACTGCAGAGTGCCCGCGTGGCACATAGGAGAAGGAGAAGAACTACATCCACCAGACCAAGAACAAGCAGATCAGGACAACAATGAGGAACTATATCAGGATCTGAACGACACTTGGGACTGGTACCACGAAGGAGAAGAAGGACATGGACACGAGGTGAACTGCACGGAGGAGAGTTGGAACGACTACGACTATGACAACGGCTGGGATTGGAATGACAACAGCTATGAAGACACAGCAAACTACATTGGAGGCATCAACGAGTCACACCTCACCATTGGACACATCAGGCAAGCAAAGCCACTACCACACAAGCACAAACCCAAATCACAACTTGGAAAGAAAGCATCACACACAACATCATGGAACGACCATAGGAAAAGCTTTCAACAATCACAACACAACTACACTTCGACATAGCAGCAGCAACACAGAAGCAAAGACAAAAGAAGATTGAGGACAACATCACACACTACATCATGTACTCCAACTTCAAGTCATATCACCACCTGCTGATTGACTCAGGAGCATCTACACATGTTTGCTCAAAGGACTATGCACCTTGTGGAGAATCTGTTCCACAACTCTACATGGGTACCAACAAGAAGATCCCTTTCTATGGCATCAAGTATGTTCCCTACAAGCAGGACAACTTCAGGATCATGATACCCTACTACGTCTGTGATGTGAAGTGTCCTATCCTCAGCGCATCAGGACTACTTGATAGAGGATATGGACTCGATCACTCATGGACAACAACAAGCACACCTCATCAGACACTCAGGACTCTTCTATCTACGAGCAGAAAAGATCGACATCCCTTTTGGACACAACAGCTATCCAACGACTACAGACAATGGAAAATCCATTGCTGTGATTCAACCTACAAAAAGCAAAACAACAACAAGAACAAGTTGCACCACTAACACACACACAGACCAAGGATTGCGACAGATCCTTGGTGGAAACACTGACTACTGGAAACTCGATGGTGGCTACGCCATCAGAGTCCACAAACGACCACGCAAAGCAATTTTCACACCACACAACAGCGGCTGCCCAACACCAGAAGGAGAATTAGATGATTGGCGACTAACCATCATCAACAGACAAGGGCAAGAGCAAGCACAACTACAAGAGAACCCCAAACAACTTTCCAAGCAAGAACTACAAAGACGACTAGATCACACCTACACGCAGAGCAACATCAAAGACGACACCAACAAGACAGGGCTCACAAGCACAACAACTAATGGAGACACCACCAACAAAGCCAAAGACGCAACTACAAGTTCCACAAAAGATATGGAGACCCAAAGCAGCACCTTCTACAGACCTTGATACCACACAACCAAAGGCGACCATACACAGACCACTACCCAAATTACTGGGAAAGACAAGGTGAACACTGGATAAGACACCACATATCACTTAGAACTACAGTGTTCACTCAAACAGATGGACCAGGACATCCACCAATCAACACACTCGAACCTCACAGAACTACAAGCACCAACAACAAGCTTCACCATGAAGAAGGACTACGAGTACATCCAGGAGAACTACGATGAGCAACAACAACACGAACACCATGAAGCACACAGAGCAAGAGGAAGCAGAACGCAACTTGACACACCAACCATGGGGAATTGGTGTCCAATTTGTGTTCAAGGCAAGGGACGCCAAGACAACTACAACAAACAACAATCACGACAACCCGTCATTCAGGTAGACTTTGCCCACATCAAATCACAAAAACACCCCAAGACCATACTAGTCTTGACAGCAGTTGATGCTGCTACAAAACTGTGCATGGCGGGAATGGTTCCGGACAAACCATCGATGATGGACTACATGGCCAACAACCTACAAGCATTCATCTTTTAGTGCGGAAGAACACAAGGCATACTACAAAGCGACAACGAGGACACACACAACGCACTTCTAAAAGCTACAGCAGCCAAAGTTGGCTCAATGACTGTTCGACACGCACCTTCCTACAGCAGCAACAGATCAAGGAAGCGTTGAGCGACTACATTCTTGGACAAATACGCGTTGTCAAAGCACAATTTGAAAGCAACTGCAGCATGACAATGTCCACAAAGCACTGTCTACTACCCTGGATGGTACGACATGCAGCATGGACGGTAAATCGCTGTGTTATCCACTCCGACGGCTACTCAAGCGTCGCATGCCGCTGGGGCAGAAACTACGAGCGAGCAATCTGAGAATTTGGCGAAGCACTAATTTACCTTCCGCCACAACACAAGAAACTTCCAAAGCAGACCTACGAATGCAGAAATGCATTTGGCTCGGAAACGTTTCCAAAGCCGAAAAACTACGTCGCAACAGAAACAGGCGTACAGAAAGTACGAACAGTACGGAGACTACAACCGGACTTCAAACACGATCTCGCGTCGCTAAACAAAGTTTCCGGCACACCTTGGGCGCCACGACGGAACACCTACAACCCGTCATTCGCAACACTGTTGGACACGCAACTCCAATCTTAAAAAAGAGACGAGCTACGCAAGACGCTGGACAACAGACGAACGTGACGGACGACATCGTCACGGAACCTGCAGCGAAACAACAACTCACTACGTCACCCTACGACTTCCGTCGGCCTCGACGTCAAGTTGACCGGACGGCAACATCCACCACTACTACCAGCACCACCTCAACAAACACTACGACGCATGACTCCGGAAGAAGTAACGCAACCGACCAAAGCACAAAAGACCTCAAAGGACACTACGATCAGATTAACGGAAGAAGCAACCAAAGAACCACAACCACTACGACAACGAATCAACGCGGTGACACTCAAAGGACTACACAGAGAAGATCGAGGACGAAGACTCCGCCTACGCCTCTGCACGACAGGTGTCACGACCAAACTGGATCGCTCGACTAGGCGACGTCTCGACAGCATTTCTACACGCACCCA